AAGAAAAACCTTTTTAATTGTTATTTATATAAATTATTAAATTTTTATTTAAAATTTATGTTTAAAAAGTTAAAAAATGAAAATAAATTTGTTAAAAATTAACGAATAGAATATTTGTTTAAGAAAACTATAAATAAAAAAAATATATCAATTAAATTATCTTACCCTAACATGATATTATAGGATCATAACCATTAGGGGTGGACGTCGGTCCGTTCGGTGACAGAACCGACCATTTCAGTAATTAACCAATTTTTTAGTTATTTATTTTAATAAACCCTAATCAAACTAAAATAAAGCGGTTTCTACTGGTTTAATCTTATTTCTTTTCTAATTTCACTGGTTTGGTTCGGTTAATCTTATTACTTTTCCCATAGCTGTGACATAACGGGAAAGGGAAATCCAAATTTGGTTATGAAGAAATCTTAAGAGAAGAAAGGGGAATATCAGGAAGTTGAATTGTCACTCTCATTTTTTCCTTTGGTTGCAAAGGAGTAGATGTTGTGAAGAACCGATTGTACCAAAATCACATACTACAGCCATACAAAGCATTGCATATATGTCAGTCCAAGCAACCATACAAATTTAATAACGCACCATATCCACACACACATGATTAACATAAAGACTAGCATGGTACCTTGAAGTTTCCGAGGGGCTTCCATGGCCAGTTGGTGAGAATTCCAGGTTTAGTCGCCATTTTTATTGTGGAGCTGATGTTACTTTAACAACTTTAACAAGGGCAAGCATTTCCAGTCCTTAATCCAAAGCCGAAGTGAAATGGACAATGTTAGTTTAGTAGCAAAATGCAATACCAATGTCATTTGGCATTGTCATAGCGTATACATTAATACAGTTGAGAAAATGGAAGAATTACATAATAATGCTAAAAGCAATTCCAACATGAACATTAAAAAAAAAAAAAAAAACCTTGAAATTTTTAATGTCTATAATTTAAGGAAGGCAACTCTACCACCGAAAATATCCTTGCCAGTAATGGACACTCTCTTCTACCACAATGAAAGAGGGACTCACCGAACTCATACTCATCAATCAACCAGTTGTACAGATCAATCACCGTAATTTTCCTTCATAATACGGAAGTTTGAGCCATGTTAGGTTTCCATCACTTTAGACATAATTTGTATGATACCTCCAACACTTTTCATATGGTGGACATTTATATCATTAACTTGAAGCATTGCTAAGTGTCAAACAGTTTGAACCCAATTCTCATTCATGGTACCAGTTTGAGTTGTGTTAGATTTCCATTACTATAGACATAAAAATTGTATGATATAGTGTAAACCTCCTAACTCTAATATAAATATTTATAACTACTACAATTAATTATGTATATGGGTTAAAGTACTCATTGTATACAATAATAATAATAGTTGTGTTTTGCCTTTTTTTTTTTTTAAAGAAAAAAAAAACTATAATATAAACACAATTTTTTAAATAACCAACCAATGGATCCATGAAACAAGGAGGCTTTGAAAACCATTTGGCTTTTGACATTGCCACATGCCTCACTATAAGTGTGAGTGGTTGGAAGTTTGGCTATGTAATGCAAAATGCAACAAAGAGAGAAAAAGTGAGCTCAATGTAGTAAGGAAAAAAAAAAAAACTCTCGGAGATAATGGATATTATCTTTCCTTATTCTCCTTAAGGTAAGGGAAGATATATTCAAAAGGTAGAACCTAAGCACATTCAACGTGAGCTCGTCACGACCTCAACCCTGCCAAAATATCCACCATCATATAGAATGCATAGGTTAATAACACATTGACTGGAACATCTTCACAAACCGTCAATATGCACAAAAAAAAGGAACCAGCTTTCTAAGTCGACTTGCTGGAAGTTTATGCTATGACGAGCCAAAACCAAGTAGTGCAAAAAAATGTAAATCCATTGAAGTTCAATTAATTCCTGGTAGAAATGGCAAATTAAATTCAACTCATCCTGCCAACCGAACCCCAACTGGCTCACTTAAAAATGGGTCATGGTAATGACTTTCGACCCATTTTGACCCTACCAGTATCACAACCTACAAATTTAAGAAATGAGTGGCTATGTGTTCCCTCCCTGAACCCGTGGACTCGTTTGATCCAATTAATTTGATTTATGATTATGACCATAGGAATTTGTAGAATGAAAAACAATGATAAAAAAAACTTATTTTAATGTCACGTTATTTCAACTAATATTATTTTATATAAGTTTATATTTTTATATATTTAATTCTTTAATAAAATATCTAACAAAACACTTCCTTAAAAATCACACTAATATTACTTTATTTAACTTATAGTTTTTATTTTCAAATAAAACAAGTTTTGAATTAAAAATTGAAAAAACAAGGAGATTGCAACACACCTAACGTGATGTCAGGCACTGCGCTAGAATATTTTTCAATTTGCTTTTAAATATCTCATTATTTTAAAATGTTAAAATATTAAAAAGTAAACTTGTTGCATACACAGAAAATATTTTTCATTTTAAAACTTTCCTTAATTAAAATAAAGTTCTATCTCTATTTTATTTATTAAAAAAAAAACAATAAAATAGAACAGTATTGTACATGCTCTAATAACTCAACTCAAATCCGCTCATATGTTAAATCTAATTCCTGGTCTGTATATGAGAAAGACTGAGAGAGTATAGGTTGAAAAACCATTACAATAGAAGAGAGACCTAATTGCAAGAAAAAATAGAAGTAGAAGAGAAAAGGCGAAAATTTAAAAATTTTGTTGCGACAAGTGAAAATAATAAAAAAAAATATAGGGACAAGACTACAAAATAAGCTTATTTTATTTTCGACATTTTTGAATAAGGAAAAAGCATAAACTTTGCTGGTTGGTTGCTCAGAAAAGACCGAGTCCTGTTTCTCGACGCAAACACAGAGACGCAAAAGAAAGAAAGATGAGTCGAAGTAGATCGCTGCGATTCCTACTATTATTCGCTTCGATTTCGCTACATTTCATCTCAGGTTTTCTCTTTATTTCAGAATCTTAACTTTTTCAATCGATTGCATGCAATTCTAGTTTATCTTCGTGTGTAATTCTTGAAGATTTTTTTTTTTCCTTTCGGAGATCGTTAGGGTTATGATTGAATTTATGAGAATCTCCGCTTATTTGATTAGTTTTTGGAGTTATTGGAGTATTGAGTTTCCTTATTTTTGTTAGCTGATAAATTTTGCAGCTTTCCGTTTGGTTGCCGAGAAAGTTAGCATCTTGATTCTCTGTTCGCTATCTTAAATTTATATTTCTAGTTTTTTTTTTTTTGGCCAAGGTTTAGCTGTATTTGTCTCGTAATAGGTGAAAAATCAATTTGTTATTCTAGTTAATTTGATAAAATTGGGATCTTTTATAGATTTGGCATCTTCCCTCAGTTTTCATTTAGAAGAATTGTTTCAGGGATCTGTGGAATCTGATCTGGAATGATTTATGACTCTTTGAGCTTTAGTTGTTTCTGATTAGGTGATTAGGATTTTTGTAGAACTCATGGCCTTAGCGTAGTAGGTAGGCATAGTTTGGTTTATGACATGCTTCAATTCAACTTAAACGTGGTTAGTCAGATTTCAAAGTCTACTTACTGTTCTACAGTTCTGAGAAATGGAACTTTTTTCTGCTAAATGTAAAATTGTTAAAAAATTTCCTCTTTTTCCTTTTTTTCTTGTTTTCAGGTTTCTCTGATGATTCTGCAAGTTCAAAGAATGATACAAAAACCAAGCCTAATGTGACTTCCAGTAGTAATACTGGTCCCAAGGTAGTTATCATATTACTTGGGATTGTTGCAATAGGGTTGTTTTCAGTTTTTCTCTTCAAGTTGTGGCAAAAAAAGAAACGAGATGAACAATATGCCCGTCTTTTAAAGTTGTTTGAAGAAGATGATGAGCTCGAGGTCGAACTTGGCCTTCGGGACTGACACTACGTATTATCAACATCATTGTTCAGGTGTGTGTGAACTTTGTCATCCATTTTTATCAACTTATTGCTTTATGGTTGTATTTGTAGTAAAATTTTGCTATTGGATGTGCTTTACCTCTTTGTAGCGAGTGTGAGAATCAAAGTAACCATATTAACCTCCTACCCAATGTGCTATTAGATGAATCACCATGGTATTATGGTTAAATTGAAGGGTATCTCAAATTTAGGTATTGCCAGTATTTGTTGGTTCACCTTTTAGTTAAGATTACTTTTCTGTGTAATGATGTTCTTTAAGGTTATGGGAATGAGGGTTGTTATTATGGGGAAATGAGAATCCAGCCAAAGGTAGCAGTCCTGGCTAAGAAAAACCAAGAGTGCAGCCGTCAAGGCCTTTGATTCTTGATACTCGTTTTATATGATAGTGGGACACTTCCTACTGAAAGAATCGGTGTGTTGCACACTTGAGAATATTGCATTCATTTATCATCTTGTGCTTGTACAAACAAACATAAGTGATTCT